TATGTGTCCTGCTTGGCGTGTGTATAGCGCACAATTCACAACCACGCTACATCTACATTATTTACCAGCAGCAACGAAGGATCTGTAATGCTAAACATTCAGGGGGAAGGGTCTGCTGAGAGCAACAACGCCTGTGTGCTACACAAGCTGGTGCACGTACTTGCTGAACCAGAGCGAAGGGCCCCTTGGTGAACTCCTTCTTGATTGTCCCGGACTTACCCCAAGCCGTCGCGGGACTTTGCATGAACGTCTTCGGGGGCGCCGGGGGGGGCGCCCCCCTCTTAGCTCTCCCGGTTGCGATGGTGCATTCAACGGGTTTCAGGGGGAGGTATATCAGAGGCTGTGCCGTTTGAACAGAATGGTACGATTGTAACACAGAATCAGATAAAACGGCACCTTACGGCGCCGCTGTTTGGCTCCTGCTGTTGCCACGACCGTTTGTTACAATGATGCTGCTGCAGCATAGGCCCACTACCTTTTTGGGTCTACTGCTGTCCGCTTCGTTGACTGAGGCCTGCTTATAGCGCTGCCGCCTCAACTGCTGCTGGTCTGTCCCGTACCTTACACGCTCAAGCAGGGGACCCTAAACTGCCCATGAACTACCCTGATGACACCATGCATGCTAGCGTTATTTGTTATTTTTCAAAGCTACAGTATTTTCCTTTGAGGCCATCACCCTTATCGCCATGTTCAATCGCGGTGGCGCTGGACCGGCGCTAGTCCCAAACGTGGAACCACTACTGTACGTGGTGTCATTTTGTAGATTTCTGTACAGTCAGGAACAAATGGCTATTACAGTGCCGCCGGCGTGTGCTTTCCTGCTGCTGCCACCACAGGTCTACAGCAGTAGACTAGTGCTGTTGCAGCTACCGCTGCTGCTGCATGGGTCTACTGCATTTAGTACATGTTGACATATCACGCCGTCCATGGACGACAGCTACTCGAACAAATGCTGGCCTTCCAAGCGTTTTGTTCTGGACCTGTACGCGCGAGTGCGCGAGTTCGCCGCCCAAACTGCTGTGCACGGGCTAACCCTCTCCAATGCACAGAATCACTGCTGTTGTGGGCAGTCAGCAATCCATCGTGATCGTCTACCCCAACATTACACGCGTCACGCACCTCCGAGCGTGGTGAAGTAGAGCTTAGTCTCCAACCCGGCCGGGAAGCGCAGCGGGTTGTCGGACTCCGCGGACTCCGCGATAGCTCGGTGGCACAACGTTATCCAGCCAGAAAACGCGATTTCCTGGTAGCACCGCGACACGTCTCTGTCACGAACTTCTTTGAATTTCTTCTCCGTCTCCTTGACGGCGAGACAAGCCCATGCGATAGGGAAGCACAGCAGGGCGTTCTGGGACTGCTGGCCGAGAGGTGTAGTCTACCTCCATACGTAGCGCAGAAGATCCCAAAGGAATCCATGAGGTCATTCGCGAGTTCTACTGGCAGTCCCTGCGCTCTGTTGGATACCTCTAGGTTGAGTGCCATGCTGGTTCGTGGGACGCACTGGACAGTAGTTGCGTTGTCAAGTGATTGTTTGCCTGGTGCGCGGCGTGGCGTCGTGCAGCCGCAGCAGATGGCGTGCCCGGGGGCTGTGTGTATGTGTGTGGGGGTGTGGCTTGTTTTTTATATTTGAACCAACCCGCCTCCGCATTCCAACAGTCCCGTGCACAAAACTTTCCTCGTCCCATACCAGCATGCACCAAAAAAGTTACAGACGAAAGTTCCCCAGCAAAGTTGCAGAAGAAGTTTGCAACTTTTTCTGCAACATTTGTGAACCACAAAAAGCGGTGTTAATGAAAGAAAGATGCGACGGCGCCGGAGGACAAGAGTATCGAATTACTCTTGCGTGAGAAATTTGATATTAAGAAACAAGCAACAACAAAAACCAAACGGCTTCATCTCTCTCTCTTTCCTCCTCCCACGTGGTACCGACCCTTCAGCGATATGCTCTGCTAGACTGCGTTGGGAGTCAGATGACGGTAGAAGTTCGTGTCTTGGTGTGTTCGTGGGATGCGAAGTGTCCCTGTGTCCGCTCTAATATAATACAATAAACTGCTTCGACCGTGGTTATATCT